AGCTTCTCTGTGCAAGAACCCCGGGTCCAGAGGATGCACTCTGCTCCCAGTGATTCTTTCCTGGTGTTATGAGGTCTCCTCCTCTCTGCTTGCTTCCTTTTCTTTTTATGTCTTGTAAGATAAAAAGTGGTGCAGGCCATACCCCAGGGAAAGTCCCTTTACATTGGATCAGGGATGTGACCTTAGTATGGGTGTTACAATCCCACCCTAATCCTCTTTAACATAAAATTACAATCACAAAATGGAGGACAACCACAGAATACTGGGAATCATGGCCTAACTAAGTTGACACATATTTTTAGGGGACACAATTCAATCCATGACAATACTGAATCAGAATCTACATTTTAACAAGATCCCAAGATGATTCTTATGTATAATAAATTTTGAGAACCTCTGCTCTACTAGTAGTTCTTAGAATTGGTCGCTAACCTACAGCATTAGCATTGCCTGGGAACTTCTTAGAAATGCAAATTCTCAGCAGTGGTTTGAACCGGAATGCACCAGTTCAAAGCCCTGGAAGAACCTTGGTTAACACAGGAGCACCCAGCCTGGACCAGCATTCTTCCAGAGGAGTTGCCTCATCCAGAATAGCACTGATAGGAGCTGGCAGGGCTTTAGCCAGCATGGCAAATGCTTTGTGGTGGGAGGTCTGAAAGAGAGTGGTAGCAACTAGTGGGCTAGGACTCCATGGCTACATTTGGGAACTCCCTGGAGACTAACAGAAATACTTGGGATAAGGAAAGGAAACATTGTATTGGGCAGGTGGGGGCTACTGAGCCAACAGAATTCAGGTATGTGGTTTCATTTGTATTTATCTTGAGTTACTGAATTTGTAAATTTGAATCTTTCACCAACGTTAGGACATTATTATTTCTATTGATACATATTCAAGTTTACTGACTCTTTCCTCTGTCATCTCCATTCTACTGTCAAGTCCATCCAGTGAATTTTTATTTTATTTTATTGTGCTTCAGGAGAAAGTTTACAACATAGATTAGTTTCTCATTCAAAAATTTATATACAAATTGTTCTGTCACATTGGTTACAATCCCCAAAATCTGTCAGCACTCTCCCCCTTTCTCTTTCCATCCTAAGTTCCCCGTGTCCATTTGTCTAGTTTTCCTGTCCCTTCCTGCGTTCTTGTCTTTGCTTTTGGGCAGGTGTTGCCCATTTGGTCTCATATACTTGATTGAACTAAGAAGCACATTCCTCACCTGTGTTATTGTTTGTCTTATAGGCCTGTGTACTCTTTGGCCAAAAGGTGGACTTTGGGAGTGGCTTCAGTTCTGAGTTAGCAGGGTATCTGGTGTCCATAGTCACAAGGGTTCCTCTAGTCTCTGTCAGACCAGTAAGTCTGGTTTTTTTTTGTCAATTTGAATTTTGTTCTATGTTTTTCTCCTGCTTTGTCTGGGACCCTCTATTATGATCCCTGTCAGAGCCCTTGGTGGGGCTAGCTGGGCACCATCTAGTTCTTCTGGGCTCAGGCTGGTGGAAGCTGTGGTTTATGTGGTCCATTAGTCCTTTGGACTAATATTTTCCCTGTGTCTTTGGTTTTCTCTTCATTCTCCTTTGCTCTGAATGTGATGGGACCAATCAATGTATCTTAGATGGCTGCTCACAAGCTTTTAAGAGCCCAGATGCTACTCACCAAAGTAGGATGTAGAACATTTTCTTTATGAACTATGTTATGCCAATTGACCTAGATGTTCCCCAAGACCATGGTCCCCAGGCCTAAGCCTCAGTAACTTGGTCCCTCAAGGTGTTTGGATGTGCCTAGGAAGCTTCTATGACTTTGCCTGGGTCAAGTTGTACTGATTTCTTCTATATTGTGTGTTGTCTTTCCCTTCACCAAACTTAACACTTGTCTACTATCTAGTTAGTGATTTCCCCTCCCCACCCCTCCCCTTCCCTGTAACCATCAAAGATTGTTTTTTTCCTGTGTTTAAACCTTTTCTGGAGTCCTGGTGGTGCAGTGGTTAAGAGCTTGGCTGCTAACCAAAAGGTCAGCAGTTTGAATCCACCAGTCACTCCTTGGAAACCCTATTGGGCAGTTCTACTCTGTCTTATAGGGTTGCTATGAGTTGGAATCCACTCAACAGCAATGGGTTTTGGGTTTTGAGAAACCTTTTCTTGGGTTTTTATAATAGTGTTCTCCTACTATCTTTGTCCTTTTGTGATTGACTTATTTCACTCAGCATAATGCCCTGTTGATTCATCCATGTTGTAAGATGTTTCACAGATTGATCATTATTTTTTTATTTTTGCATAGTATTCCATTGTGTGTATGTAGCATAATTTGTTTATCCATTCATTTGTTGATGGGCACTTAGGTCCAGTGAAGTTTTCATTTTAGATATTTTATTTTCCAGTTTTATATTTCCCCTTTTATTCCTTTTTTAAAGCATCTATTATGTACTTTATTTTTTTATTGTACTTTAGATGAAGGTTTACAGAGTGAATTAGTTTCTCATTAAACATATTGTTTTGTGACATTGGTTGCCAACCCCACAACATGTCAACACTCTCCCCTTCTCGACCTTGGGTTCCCCATTGCCAGCTTTCCTGTCCTCTCCTGACTTCTAGTCCTTGCTCCTTGGCAGGTGTGCCCATTTAGTCTTGTTTTGTTTTATGGGCCTGTCTAATCTTTGGCCAAAGGGTGAACCTCAGGAGTCACTTCAATACTAAGCTAAAAGTGTGTGTGGGGGTCCCATTTTATTCTTTTTTATAGTGTCTATTTGTCTGCTGATATTTCCTATCTTTTTGTTCATTATGAGCATATTTTCTATAACATTATTGAGCATGGTTATAATACAATACAGGCAGTACCCAGATTATGAACCAGTTCCATTCCTAAGTCTGTCTTTAAGTCAAATTTGTATGTAAGTTAGAACAGTTAGGTACGGTTCATACCTAACGTCAGTCAACTGTTTTTCTTAGTATATAGTATATAGTGTACCTTTCCATGCACAAAAATCATTGAAGAAATACTTCCAGAAACACTAAAACATCTTTAACATAATAATACAGTAATAATTATAATGTTTTGATGAGCATCGCAAAGTATCACGCATTTGTAATTTATGAACTATTGTATGTACTTCGAATTTTTAATATAATAGACTTTACAAGAATTGGTTCCTAACCACAGGTTGTATGTAAAACAGACGTTCGTAATCCGAGAACTGCCTGTAGCTGCTTTAAATTCCTTGTTAGCTAATTCCAACATCTGGAATCTGGGTTATAGGGAAGTCAGTCTCCATTGATTCTCCTTTAAGAATGAGTTGATTTTTTCAGGTTGCTTGTTTGTGTTTGTTTTTGTATATCAAGTAACATTGGATTGCATCTTGGGAATTGCAAATGTTACTTGTGGAGACTCTGGATTCTGTTATATGCCTTCAAAAAGAGTGCTTACATATTTCGATTTTAGCAGGTAATTAGTTGGACTCAAATTGCAAACTTGTCATTTGAGGATCTTGTTAAAATGTGGTGGCAACTCAAACATCAGTTCAGTTCTTTTTTTTCCTTAACTGAGCAGCTTTGAGTTTGTTACGTATGGGTGCTATGGAGGATTGAGTGTTTCAGGGACCAGACAGAGATTTGGGCATAGTTTATACATAAAATTGGGGCTTTCCCTCTCTGGCCCTCTTTTTTCTTGGACTCTCTCTTTACTTTCCAAAGGCTATGGTTGCCCAAAACTGTCTAGTTCTTCACTCACTGCAGCCTGAACTCAGGCTTAAAAAAAAAAAAATTTAGGATACCCATCCAGTGACATTTCTTTTGTCCAAGTGTCAACTTCCTCTAGAATCTCTCTGCTTTTGGTAGCTCTCTAGTCAGGTAGCTGATTTTGTTCAGAGTTTATAGTTGCTATCTGCAGGAGGGTTGGTATGATAGGAGCTTACTCAGCCATTCTCAGAAGGGGAATATAGTAAAATCTGGGATTTCATTTGTGCTTACTGGATAAGCCCAAGGACATATAACTTAAAAAATATAATTAAGTCCTTTTACGGATAAGAAAACAAGTCTCACAGATCCATCTAGCTTAAAAGTCATTCTACACCGTTCTATCCAAGTCTACTTCGGTGTGGCAGAAATAAAATGGTGTCCACCATGTGGAGACAGGGAAGGAGTTGGCAGGAAAGGAAGGCAGATGATAAGCCTAAATGTACAAGTCTAAATGCACAAGTACTTTGGCTCCATGGAGCTGTAATGATACACTCAAAGCCTTGCACATTGGGTTATTTGAAGGCTTTGTTTCTTTCTTTTTGCTTCCTTTTCAGAATTCCAGATATCGCAGCTGTGGTAAAGGGACATTTGCCTGGTGAAGAGCAGAATTTTAGCAGGGTCTTATGACCACCCCAGACAGATTCAGAGACCAAAAAAATGTCACAGGCCCTCAGAGGTTATCTCTTTCAACTCCTTCATTTTAAATATGAGGAAACTGAGGCCCTGAAAAGTGAAATGACTTTTCCAAAATTGATCAGTCATTTATTGGCTAAGCTGGGGCCAGTGTTTAGATCTCTTAACTTTGTATCCTATGCTCTTCTGCCAAGCAAGCATAACTGTAGCCCTTGCTCTCTGGCCTGGCCACACCACTACCACAAAATAACAACACCATTTGCCTCTGATGATGGGGTTAGCAGGAGGCATAGACAGTAATTCTCAACCTTTTTTTCATTCCAGAGTACTTGAGAAACATAGTACCTGTACCCGTTGCTGTCGAGTCGATTCTGACTCATAGCAACCCTTTAGAACAGAGTAGAACTGCCCCAAGGGTTTCCAAGGAATGGCTGGTGGATCTGAGCTGCCAACCTTTTGATTGGCAGCCAAGCTCTTAACCACTGCACCACCAGGGCTCCTGAGAAACGTAATACATACCGATAAATATCCAAGTAAAACCCAGTTAACACCATCTCACCGACTGATATGGATGGATCCCAGATGTGGTTTTTACTCTAGGGCCCTTCCCCACTTACCACTCATTCCCCCACAGCACCCACCATAGATGCGAAAGGCATACTCGATCTTCAGGCTGGGGCAGGCCTGCTCACTGAACACAGATGCCATGCCCAGCACATCCTCAAAGGAGAACACACCGTCATGGGAAAACACTCTGCAGATTCGGTCTCGGAAAGGGTTTACCTGTGGGTTGGGTGGAGGAGGGAGGAGGCCATCAGTGTCAAGTTCATGTGTCTCTGAATCTCTCTCATCCTCGGAAGAACTGCATCGTTTTGAGATAAAAACAATAGCAACAACCTAAATATCAGAGTAGATGCTCATTCAATGAGCCAGGCCCCTGGGTGTGATGGGAGGTACCAGGGACGAGGGGCTGTGCTTAAATTAATATCACTCTCCCTAGTAGCCCTACACACTCCTATGCATCCATTCCAAAGGCTCATTTTTAATGGTTATTATTAACATCTTTCTTGTTGTTATAAAAATATATATAACACAACATTTGCCCATTCAACATTTTTCAGGTGCACAATTTCGTGGTATCAGTTTCATTAATTGTGTTGTACAACCATCACCCATAATTGTTGCCAAATTTCCCATTGCCATAAACAGAAACTCACCGCTTCCTAAACAATGACTCCCCCTTTTCCCCTCCCTCCTGCCCCTGGTAACCGCTAATCAACTTGGTCTTTATTTGTTGTTGGTGTTGTTGTTAGCTGCTGTGGAGTTGGCCCCCGACTCAAGGCAACTCCGTGTATTACAGAATAAAACTGCTCCCTAGGGTTTTCTTGGCTGTACTCTTTGCAGAAGCAGTCTGCCAGGCTTTTCTTCTGTGGAGCCAGTGGGTGGGCTCAAGCTGCCAACGTTTAGGTCAGCAGTCAATCTCAAATCACTTATACTAGCCAGGCTCCTTTGGTCTCTATAATTTGCCTATTCTTGTCATTTCATGGTAGCCAAAAGGTCGGCAGTTCAAATCCACCAGATGCTCTTTGGAAACTCTGTGGGGCAGTTCTACTCTGTCCTATAGGGTCACTATGAGTCGGGATCGACTCAACGGCAACGGGTTTGGTTTGGTTTTGGTTATTTCATATGAGACCATACACTATTTGTCCTTTAGTGATTGACTTATTTCACTCAGCGTGATGTTTTCAAGATTCATCGATGCTGCTTCATGTGTGAGGACTTCATTTCTCTTCGTGGCAGAGTAGTGGCCCATCGTATGTATGCACCACATTTGTTTATCCAGTCATCTGCAGATGGACACTTACCAAAGCTTCCTTTTTAAAAATTGTGTTGTTCTTTTACATGGTTATTATTTTTCTCCATTTTATGTAGATAACTTATACCAAAAAAAAAAAAAAATCATGAAGAGTAGGGTAAAAGTGCTTGCAATCTACTCCCAGGGCTAACCACTGTCACCACATTTATGTGGAAGTCAGACAGACTTGGGTTTGAGCCCTGGCTTCACAGTTCACTTTAGACAAATTACATAATCTCTCAGAGCCTACAATTTCTTATCTATAAGATTAAAAAAAAAAAAAACCCGTTGTCGTCAAATCGATTCTGACTCATATCAACCTATGTAAGATAGGATGGGATAATAATTATATCTGCCTGATAGGATTGTTGTGAGGATTAAACAGGAGACATTTAAAGTTGCACAAACCAAAAAACAAAAAACCAAACCTGTTGCCGTCGAGTCGATTCCGACTCACAGCAACCCTATAGGAACAGAGTAGAACTGCCCCATAAGGTTTCCAAGAAGTGACTGGCGGATTCAAACTGCTGACCTTTTGGTTAGCAGCCAAATGCTTACCCATTGCGCCACCAAGGCTCCAAAGTTGCAAGTGCCTGATAAGTAACACTCAGTAAATGGTAGTTATTAGTTGTTACCCAACTACTAAATACCCGATAATTGGCAGAGCAACTTTCATTCTTTTACCAAACTACTTCTCAAATTAGATCCCTAAATGAGTAAGGGTCATGTGCTTTTAGAGACTCTGACTCCGCTAAACCAGGTCTTCCAGGGTACTATGGCATGAGAGGCCCTTCTGTGCTGGCGTCATGGTCCTGGGCTTGTCCGTGAGGAAACACTGCACACCTTCACTGACAGCTCACTAGGGCTGCCTCGCCACTCCGCCTCCCACCCCCAGGAACAGGCAGGTTGGGTGGGTTGTGGGGTGGAGATGGGGGCAGATCTCATGAGGGATAAAGGAGGAAATGCACAGAACAAGTGTGGAAATCTTTTAGATATCAAGTTCATCTTTGGCACCCTCCTCTCCCAGTTTCTGTGCCCCAAATCCATCCACAAGGAGCCCGGGTGGCACGATGGTTAAGTGCTTGGCTGCTACCCTAAAGGTTGGTGGTTCAAACCCATCCAGTGGCTCTGCAGGAGAAAAAAACCTGCCAGTCTGCTCCTACAAAGATTATAGCCCAGAAAACCCTATGAGGCAGTTCTACCCTGTCACACTGAGTCACTATGAGTTGGAATAGACTCAGCAAACCCAACAACAACAACAATCGATTCCCATCTACCAGAACTCCTTCTCCCCAGTTACTTAACTTTTCTTAACTTTTCCTGCCTCCTGGGAGACCTCATCAGACCCCAGCTTTGTTCTCATGCCCCATGTTCCAAAATGACCCCTGGCACCTCTCTAGCCCCCAACCAAAATTCTCGTTTCTTAGATGCACGTCAGCTAAAAAAGCTCTTGATTCTGTGAATTCACACAGCAGATGTGAATGGCCAACAGCGCCTCAATCTTCCAAACCGATAACTGGTTGAAGTAAATCCCTGGGTGATTTTTCTAAGCCCCCTTTCCTTGCCAGGTATCTCTTCAAGGCTCCAGGCTTCGTGCAAAGGGGTTAGTTCCAGCTCCTCTGCTTCAGGCAGGCCAAAGCCCTATCACCTCCTTCCCGGGCATTTGAACCCCAGCCCCAAGCACCTGTATCCCAGTCCATCACTCCTTTGGGCTGCCCCAGCTTAGCTCCTGCTTAGCTCTCTGGTCTTGCTTTTTCTCTGCGTGTTTGGCATGTGAAGATTTCTCTTTCATATATTTTGAGCTCAGCTATGTAGAAAAATATATGGCTTTATTTTATTCAGCACTCCTATATATTGAGGTGGGGGGAGCCATCTGTGTTATCCCAAGTGGCCATGTGGTTCTCAAACTTTGGTGAGCATATGAATCACCTGAGGCCCTTTTTAAAAATGGGAATTCCAGCTCCCACCCTCAGAGGTCCTGGAATAAAGAGTCATGGAGTGCCCAGGGTCCAGGAGAACCCAGGCTGCCCTGCTAGAAACTCTCCAAACAACCTCCTTCTCAGTCTGTCCCTCTCTCCTTCCACCTCAAACCACCCCCAAAAGTGCTTCATGTTGACAAGGGTTACTCCTGTGATGTGTTCCAGGTCACGTGAACCCAGCTAAGTGGCTTTACAGATTACATTACCAAGTTTCAACTAAATTAACTCTCACAAATGGATACAAGGCTTAACAAGATTCCTGCAAGAAAACCACAATTGAAGATAATACTTATAATTGCTTATAATGCAAATGCAAGTGAACAACGCGAAAATGTCAGAGCTGATACCTTTCCTACTCAAAATATGAGTTCTTCTCTATGAAGCAGAAATGACAAGAATCCAGTCAAACATACGAGAAGGCCCTGCTTCAGTTCTCCTTTCCTGTGCTCAGGGCGGATCCACAAGCTACCTGAGCACATATCCATGAGATACCAGCCCCCCCTTCTTGGGGTCCTCCCCATTACCCAGCTTTGCTGGCAGTGACAGGAAGGAGGTGGTTGCCAGGAAGTCCTAACACTCCCCCTTAGGCTGATTTCAGAGTCCCTGTGGGGTGCCAATGGTCTAGTCTACCCAGAGGTACCTCAGAATAAAGGCCTGGCAATATGCTTCTAAAAATTCAGCTGTTGAAAATCGTATGGAGCACAGTTCTACTCTTGACACACATGGGGTCACCATGAGTCAGAATCGACTACAGGGCAACTGGTTTTGGTTTTGTTTTCTTTTTTAGGCTGATACCACACGACTGATGTTGACACATACACGCACACACATCCTGACTTACATAGATTGGGAAGGGGGCAGTTGGTGTGGTAGCAAGAATAGACCATGGACTACAACATGGCGACCACAGATACTACTGGAAGATGAAGACAGAACACCGCTGAAGATACAGGGAAACAAACATTAGAACAGATTTCACATGGAAGGTTTGCTAAATAGTTGAATACATAGTTGCTAAATTTGTTGTTGTTCATTGTAGGCGAGTCGATTCTGACTCATGGAGACCCCATGCGTGCAGAGTAGAACTGTTCCATAGGGTTTTCAAGGCTGCGACCTTTCGGAAGTAGATCACCAGGCCTGCCTTCAGAGGAACCTCTGAGTGAGTTCAGACTCCCAACCTTTGGGCTAGTAGTCGAGTGCTTAACCCTCTGTGCCACCCAGGGACTTCTCAAGTTGCTAAATAGTTGAATAAAAGTACAGACATTTCTAATATGGTTTTCCTAGATTCTGTTTCAATAATGAAATACATGAAGAGCCACATTTCTCTGAGCCCCTAAGGAAGGAGGCGAGATGGACTGAACAGTAAATTGCTCTTTAATAAAGACTCCAGTTATGGGAAAAGCTGTCTGAGTGTGATCATTGATGGCATGGCTGTTCTGTGATGAAAAGGGACTCTCGGGTGAGGGTGGAGAGATACAGCACGTGGAAACTAATTCACTGCGTAATTCCCTGCAGGCCATTGGAATCAAGACGCTAAATCCAGAAGTACATAGAGTGCTACAGGATGCATTGATGTGGTTAGTTTATTTATAGTAAAACTTATACAGTGCTTGGTAATAAGATGGGAAGTGGCCATGAAAACTTTTGAACCACAAGGAGGTTTGCCGGATATCTCTCGGCAAATACTTAGAAGAGCCATCAAATCTGAAGATGATATAGGTTTTTCTTTTACAAAAAGACAAGTGTTCCAAGGTTGCTGACCTTTTTAAGATGACGGGTGGCTGTTGGCAGTTTGCTACCTAGCAGATATTCACCAAAAAATGAACTCAAATTCATCTGACTCTTCAAGGCAAAGGCGACTCATTTTAACAATGAGTGATAAAGTACCAGCTTTCCCAAAAGAACTCATGCTTTGGAGAGAATATTTTGAAAATGGAATTTTTATTGTT